ATAACACTCTGTCCATCCATCTGTCCGGCGAACAGGTTTTTAGCCACTCTGCGTAACGCTCGTGGAGTGGACGTGCGTTTAAATGATGTGCCGTGTTTTGAACGGATGTCATCCAATCCTCCGCCTCGACCGCCGTCATGCGTCGCGGAAATGTTTTCCGCGTGACCCAAGGCGAGGCTTCCTCGAAAGGGCTGTTCTGCGCGCGCCCGTGCGCTGTGTCTGGATCGCGGACCAACCTTCATGTCCGAGCGGGGCGGTGTGTGCTGAGGCGAGGCGTGTGTCAGCTGATGACGTCGTGAGGCTGCACGTTTAACGTCGCTGTGCGAACGTTGAGAGGTGGAGGGCGTGACGTCATCAACGCCGTGCTGTCGAAGTGAAGGTTGTGAGCCTCGCGGGAGCGCACGTTTTCTCTGGAGGGACGCGCGCCGCTCTCGCTGAGGGCGGGGCCCGTCATTGGATTCATTCAGCTGTCTCACGCTTATGCCGCCGTGAGCTGCTGATCGCTGAGACGCGATGGATGACGGCCGCTCGCGTTCGCTCAGGAGAGGCGTGTGTTGTTTTCGCTGAGAGCGGGGACCTCCACCGGACCCGGCCTGCGGTCCCACATTTATCCCGATGTGAGCCGGTGAGCGCCGGGCAGCTGTGCGTGCATCATCAACACAGCGCCGTTTGGATGGGGGCTGTTTGCCTCGCTCGGGTGCGCATTTAACACCGCTTGGGTGGTGATCGTGCGGTTCTGATTGACAACAAGTTATTTCGCTTACCGTGGTGTCACGTGAGCGTCTGGGCATGTGATGGAGCGACGGTGGGTTTAAAAAACCTTTATTTAATGACACCGGCTCTTTATGTGTGGAGGATGTGTGTGCAGCGGCTGTGAGCTCATCCGAACTTACAGACTGGCTAAAAACAGGCATTTTGATCTTTGAAAAATCATTTATTTCAATTCCTGTGTCATTTATACACACATCCTCCGCAGACCGTCATTTCTTAAATCTTCTCCCTCTTGAGCTCTGCGGTTTGTTTGCCCCGAGCGCCGTCTGCAGGCGATCTCTGGGGAAACGCTGAAGTGCAGGCTGCCGGACTGAGGAGGGGTGGTCTCTGGCGGGCGGGGCTGGTGGTGGAGCTGGGCGAGACGAAGCTGCTGCTGCCATGGAGCGTCGATGTTTCTGCCTCTGCTCTCGACGGTCTCTCCAGCGGGCTGGGGGACGGGATGAGCCGCGCGGCTTGATGAGATGGCGCACAGCTTCCGACATCTCCTCCGACTGCTTCGAATTCGCCAGCATGGTCTTCAAGCTGCTTCCGAACAGCGCGTCCGATGAGATGGGGCCCTCCATCAGGTCTTTGTGCAGCTTTTCCGGCAGCAATGGAGAGTGACGGAGCCAGGTAGAACGTTGGATTACCGTCATCCACGCTGCAATCCTCGACAGGCAAACCGTGGAAGCGGCGCACATGTTGAGGATGGCGTCTGCCGATTTACACAGGGAGCTCTTTGTCTCCTCCGGCAGGTCTGAGGCCTCCAGCCTTTTCGACATGCTAAATGCTAACAGCGCCACGTTGTTGTTAGCCGCGGCCGCCTGAAAAGCACACTGGTGGGCTCTGTTGGAGAGCGCGGTCACCGCCTGGTCGTGTTTCCCCGGAGGGACGGGACGCTTCTCCAGCCTGGACAGCTTCGCTCCGAAGGCTTCCGCGAGGCTTGGCTCAAGGGGGGGTACCGAGGGATAGCCCCGCTCGGTGAACCCCTCCACTCTGGTGATGGGGGCGTAAGTGGAGACGGGCGCCCTTAACCTACCAGGACCGGCTGCGGCCTCGTTCCAGTACGCTGTCACCGCTGGAAAACGAGGCCAAATGGGATCAGGACGGCGTGGAGCCAAACCTTCCCGCAAGATCATCCGATCTGAGCGGGGGGGGTGAGGGGACGGAGAGCCCCTTTACGCTAGCAGCTTCCCGGATAATGGCGGGCAGCTCCGAGAGGAGCGCGCCCACGGCAGGGAGCGATGTGGTCGCTGAAGCGGGAAACCCCGGGGGAGTCGAGCATCCGCTCGGCCTCCCTCTTTCCAACACTGCGCTCCCCGGGAGGGAACGAGCGTCGGGGCTGCTGCTAGCGTCACCGGTCCCAGAGGAATCATCCGATTCACTCCGAGAGCCGGCGTCGAAGAAATCCATGGCGTCGTCCAGCGAGCAGTCTCCCGCCACGGACAGGCAGTCCTCGATGGTAGCCTTAAACAAGGCTGCTCTCCTCTGCCTTTCCTCCGGTGGAAGTTCGTCACAGAGGCGGCAGGAGGAAGCGCGGGCGACGTGGCGGGGACCCAGGCATCCCTCGCAGGTGTCGTGCCGGTCGAAGCTAAGCAAGTAACAGGTCTTGCAGGAGGGACACAAGCGGATGGTGCTGGAGCTGGACATCTCGACGAAAGGTCAGTTGTTTTTTTATTGTACTAGCTTGCTGAAGAAAAATGGGAGCAGATTAACCGCTCTTAATGTAATTTATACGGATCGGGTGGGGCCCACACAGCAGGTGGGCGTGGACTAATTTTTTCAGTATGATGCTTGCGCATAACGGGATAAACCCACTAAGCGACAGCTCTTAAAGGGCGAAGCCTATATGAAATAGAACTGGGTTGTTTTTTCTTCTTCTTTCGGCTGCTCCCTTCATCAGTGGTCACCACAGCCAACTGAGTCGCACGAAGACTTGGCAATTGTTTTTACGCCAGATGCCCTTCCTGACGCAACCACAGACCACCGAGCTACCACGGCCCTCTGTGTGGAGCAGGGAGCTGCTGTGATAGCCCGGGGGAGCAGATGGTGGGGTCGCCTATGAACAGTAGATGCCCGTGGCTAAACACTGGAGCGTCTTGTTTATGTTAGTGGTGTGCGTTACTGCAAATTTTGGTACGGATCCGATATCATATCGATATCAGTAATACGGTGAATTTTGATGACATTTTAAGTGTTCTGTGATTTTTCCTTTGGATCAATTATTAGTTAAAACTCAGGATAGAATTAGGCAAAGTTTATAGGTAAATAAAAAAATACTTTATTATAATTAAAAAAATAATAATAATCTGAAAAAATAGAACAGTAACAAAACAAATTTCCCCATACCTTGTGATGGCTGGATTTTTTCCCTTAAACAAAGTGCACGAAATGATCACTCAAGAATAAATTAAAACTCCGTGTTCAAAAACTATGATAATTAAATAAAAATAGTCCCTTCATTGCACTCCTTTTCTGGATTTTTTTCTTAAATAAACAAACTGTAAAAAGTTATCACACCGCAACAAATGTTATAAAACATCCTTCCATCTATTATCTTTTACCCACTTCTTCCATTTTGGGTCACGGGGGTCGCCGGTGGCCATGTCCAGCAATCACTGTGCAAGAGGCGGGGTACACCCTGGACTGGCCGCAAGTCCATCACAGGGACACATAGAGACAAACGAGACCAACAACCATTCACTCAGTGTAAATAACAAAACAACCTCCAAAACCTTGAGTTCAAAGAAACATTCCCAGAAGCCTCTCTGTGGGCCCTGCCTCCCTTTGCAGAACAGAGATCCTGGTTACAGATTTTTTTTCAGAAACAGTATCATGTTCACATTTTCACTTTTATTGCACATCGCCTGTGACTCCGTAACTGTCCTGTCTTTGACAAAATCCTCTCTGCTGGCACTGACGTTGCAACCACCCCCAGGTGTTTTTTTGGCAAGGTTGCTCAGAGAGGGGAATGCTGGTGCATTGTTGTTCCACCAAAGTAGTGGATCCTGATCCTGAGGAAATGGCCTCTTCTGAGTACCTGCACATTTCAATTAGGGCATCAGTGCCAGTTGTCTGATGCTGTGGAGATGCAAGTAATTTAGTCAAATTCTGTCCATATCCCCTTTGGCTGCAGGTGGGGATGCAGCAGCCCCCGCAGACGAGTTTGAAGTAGTTGCAGGGGCTGGGGCAGAGCTGATGGAGTTTGAGCTTGATGCAGATGATGAAGGTGTTGAGGTCTGATTCACAGACTGCATTTCGGTGACAAGTCTAACTTTTACAGGCTCAACATTTGCAAAGTCACGGAATCCCAAGTTTTTAAATCTTACGTCCAGGTAGGTGCTAACAGCAACACCGTAAAACATTTCAATACCCCTGACACGATGGTGACACTGTGCTGACAGCTCAGCACTAGCTTGCTACCTTGGCGCTCAGAAGTTGCAGTGGTTCTGAGAAGAACTGACACCAGGGGAATTGCTTTTGAAACCGAAACATGTTTTTCAGTTGATATCTCCCTGGTTACTTCCTCAAATGGCCTCAGTGAATTGATGGAGACTGACAGATCATTATTTCTCACTTAAGCAAAGTGAGCTCTTTTCAAGGAGACAGAGGACTGTGGTAACTGCCTCCTTTTGCTCAGACAATCTCTCCCACATGTAAAATACAGAGTTATATTAATGGTAACCTGACTCCCGTTTGCAGAAAACCCATAAAAAATCCCTCTACATCCCTCCTACTACATGGACACGAGGGTGTCCTACCTCTCTATGGTAGATGCAAGAGGGCATGGGGGGATTCCAGGACTGTCCTGCCTGTTGGAGAAAAATGTTTTTGCTTTATCTTACTCAAAAATAACCACACTTAAAGGCAGGAGAATAGTTTTAATTGGTATTTACTTGCAAGTTCAGAATTTCAGGACAAGTTACATAAATATACATAAAGTGCACAGATAAAGACCAGTCATGAGAATCTGCCCCGAGCTGCCTTCTCAGCTTGTTTTTATACTCTTACCAGTTTAGCCGAGTTCACTGAACTTGGGTGTCCTTGGAGCCAGCTGCATGCTGCAGCCTGACTGAGCTCCTCATCCAGCCCTCTCTGCTAAACCAAACATATGATTCAGATTCTCAGCCATAGTAATAAAACCATCCATAACCTTTGACCAAAAATTCCCTACCATTATCCAAATCAGGACGGTTGGCAGGTATGCAAATATCAAAGAAAATAAAGATGGTGACAATGTGCTGACAGCTCAGCCCAATAATCATTTGAGCTGTTTTCTGTCCATTGTTGGTTCTCAGGTGTTTAAAAGCAGACTCAAGTTTAGACTAAAGTCCTAAAGTTTTACTTCTGGAGGAGGAACTAAGGAGCACTTTGTTTCATGTGGACTTCTGTGTGTCTGTTTAAATAAATCTAAATGGATTGTCAACAATCCTCAAATTCAAACGGTATCTGTCCTGTGTGGACAGTCATGTGTAGGTTTAAAGTTATCTCATGGCTGAACCTTTGTCCACAACACTCACATTTAAGTAGTTTCTGTCCAGTATGGACTCTCATGTGAATGTTTAAAATAGACTTCTGCCTAAATCTTTGTCCACAAAACTCACATTCATACGGACTTTGACCTGTGTGGACTCTCATGTGTGAGATTAAACTACTCTTATGGGTATATCTTTGTCCACAAACTTCACATTCAAATGGTTTTTGTCCTGTGTGGACTCTCATGTGCATGTTTAAACTTGTTTTCCGGCTACATTTATGTCCACAAATCTCACATTCAAATGGTTTTTGTCCAGTGTGGACTTTAATGTGCGAGTTTAAGTTGGTTTTCTGGCTAAATCTGTGTCCACAAAACTCACATTCAAATGGTTTCTGTCCAGTGTGAACTCTCATGTGTGAGATTAAACTTTTTTTCTGACTAAGTCTTTGTCCACATTGCTCACATACAAATGGCTTCTCTCCGGTGTGGACTCTTGTGTGTATTTTTAAATGTGCTTTTCTGTTAAATCTTTTACCACATTCATCACAACTAAATGATTTTGGTCCTGTCTGGACTTTCCTGTGTGTCTCTACACTTTTCTTCTGATCCAAACAACTTGAATGTCTTCCTGTTGAATGACATGTCATGTGTCTCTGAAGTGACCGGTTGTGCAGAAATTGTTTGCCACACTCAGAGCAGCTGAAACATTTGTTGACAGAGTTTACAGCTGACTCAGGAGCTCTGCTCTCCTTCCAGTCTTTGTCACTGTCTTCAGCTGCTGACCCAGAGTCTGACAAGTGTTCCAGCTGAGAGTCAGGATTGTTCTCATCCTCGTCTTCTTCATCATCCTCACTGACTTCAGTCTCTGAAGAGCTGGAAGCATCTCCATGAGGATTTAGATCTGGGTTCCTGCTGGTTTCTGCTCCTCCACAGTCCTCTCCATCACCTTCAACTTTCATCTGGTCAGCTGAGCTGCTGGTTGGAACATCTCTGTCCTCCATTTGGTGATGATGAAGCTGCGAGAACAGAGGCTTCTCTTCTTCATCCTCACTCTTCAGAGGAACTGCAGTGAATGAAAACCTGCTGGCATCAGTCTCCTCCTTCGCACTGAGCTGCTCTCCCTCCAATCTGATCCAGAGTTCCTCCTCTTCCTCCTTGATGTGGAGGAGTTCTGGGTCCTGCTGGTCCACATCAGGCCTCCATTCCTCAGGAGCATCTACTCTGTTCAGTAGTATCTGCTGAACATCTGCAGGAAACACTGAAACACAGACAATATGGACTGTTATAACTTTACATTCACTCATACATCACTTGTGTATGTGGTCCAGAACTGTTCCAAGTCAAAGAAACAACATTTTATTCAGTAAGAGACAAAAGATATTGAATTGTTGTCCAGCCCTACAGTTAAAGAAACGGTAAGTCGGGAAAAATATAAACAGGATGACAGTACTGAGTCACAATAATTGGCTTTAAAAGCGTAACACACCAAAGAGACGTTATTAAGGAGGAAGACTCGCAGACGAGACACTGTGGCGCAATGAATTATGGGATATGTAAACGTCGTGACGCTATTACGCAATTGGACTACAAATGTGGCCTTCGAATCATACAAGCCCTGAATTTAGACACAGCCTTAAATATATTCTCTGGTGAGGTGTAAAACTGTTGTTTTATCCTTGATTATGTTAGTTTGGATATTTCAGCTCTAAACTGAGTCTAATTAAAAGATTATAAACAGCCTCCCGATTCTTGATCTGATATTAGCTTCTGTTAGCATGCTAAGCTACAAACAAAGAAAAGATTTAGTTAAAAATATAAATCCATCAACTACCTAGAAACCACAGCTAGCTAACATCGTCTGATGCTGAATGAAACAAACAAACCTGAACTCATTTTCTCTCCAACTCGACAG